CTGGAGATGTCTCATCCATAGAATCACCATGGGTCAAGATCAACATGAAGGCAGTTAACAACAACAAACCCATGGATTCAACCATCCATGGCTTGAAAATATTCCAATATTTTTTCTGAAAAAGCAAGCCTTGATTTTGCCATTTTATATAACGGTCATCATTTTACTTGTTGTTAGCTAGCTTTGAGTCAATCCCAACTCATGGCGACCCTGTGAATGAGACGTTTCCAGGTCCCTATATTCTACTTCCCTGCTCAGATCTGCAGGCACAGGTCCATGGTCTCCCTGATTGAGTCTGTTCATCTGGTATGTGGTCTTCCTCTCTTTCTACTGCCCTCTACCTTCCCTAGCATTATTGTCTTTTCTAATGAGTCACACCTTCCCTTGATGAGGCCGAAGTACGACAGCCTCAATTTAGTCATTTTGGCTTCCTGGGAGAGGTCTGGCTTGATCTGCTCTTGGACCCATTTGTTTGTCTTTTTAGCTGTCCATGTATCTTCTCCAACACCACATCTCAAATGAATTAATTTTCTTCCTATCTGCTTTCTTTACTGCCCTGCTCTCACAGCCGCACGTGGTAATACGGAATACAATTCTAACTATAGTATTCAGCTATATCTTTACATTTTAGGATTTTGTCTAGTTCTTTTGTAGCTGATCATTTTGCTACCCCGTTGTATATAATGAGACTTCAGTCCCACCACATGTTTTGTTACCTACAGGGGGTCCTAGAACCAAATCCCAGTGGATACCAAGGGCTCACTGTATTTCTTTATATACTTTATACATTTTATACACTTCCTCTCAAATTCCTATCCTTTCTAGACCCTTAGACACCCACCCCCCAAACCCAGGGCCATTTTAGAGACAAGAAAAGCCTTAGTTTTTGAGAGAGGAGATGGCAAAAGCTGGGATGTGTTTGGTGAGAAAATATTTTTAAACATCTAAAGCAGGGGTAGGCAACCTTTCCCCTTTAAGGGCCGAGGGACTTCAGCTCCCAGAAGCCTCAGCCATGTTGGCCAATAGTCCCATGTTGGCCAATAGCTCCTGGGATTCTGGGAGTTGAAGTCCCTCGGCCCTTAAAGGGGAAAGGTTGCCTACCCCTGATCTAAAGTGATGTGCTGAAGGCCCCTGAAATGTCCTTTGGGTCTTCTTGCAGCCATATGCTATACTTTCTTCACCCCATTTGATTTTCTACAACCCATTTGACAGCTGTACAAAAACAATCTTTACAGGGTGTCCTGTATCATGTACAAGTTATCCTGTAGACATGATATCTGGCTTGTTTTACACTAATACTGGATCAAGTCTTAAGGGCTGGGATACCTGAGCTGAGTCCATTGATATTCTGCACTGGTGGATCTACAGAAGCAGGAGATAGTTATTTATCTAGATAGCTGACATGCATGTCTGTTGTTGTTTTTACCATTCTGGATTGAACTATTACTATATTTTATATACATTGTGTTCGTTCAGGTTACATTTAAAAACAAATTAAAGTATCATTTTGCATTAGGATGATTTAATTATTGTTCTGTTCCTAAGGGATTCTGGAATAAAGATATCTCTCTTTTTGAAGGTCATACATAATTTTGGAGAGCCAGCATGGTGTAGTGGTTTGAATGTTGGACTGTGACTCTGGAGACTGGGGTTCGATTCCCCGCTTGGCCATGAAACCCAGTGGATGACCTTGGGCAAGTCACATGCTCTCAGCTTCAGGGGAAGGCAATGATAAACCTCCTCTGAACAAATCTTGCCAAGAAAAGCCAGTGATAGGTTCACCTTAGGGTCGCCATAAGTCAGAAACAACTTGAAGGCACACAACACAGATTCTTCTGCAGACAAATCATTACGTCATTAAAACAACACTATTAATATTCAAGTCAACAACACCAAACATAGTTTTGAGGGCATCTTAAGATCTGTTTTTCTGCTGAGTTATGTGCATTCAAATTGTCTCTACTTACAGTAAGCCTCTCCTAGGGTTTTCTCGACAAGAGTTATTCCAAGGAGGTTTGATTGCCTTCCTCTGAAGCTGAGAGAATGTGACTTGCCCAAGGCCACCTAGTGGGTTTCCGTAGCTGAGTGAGGATTTGAACTCTGGTTTCCCAAAATCCTAATCCACCACTCAGACCACTACACCACACTGGCTCTCATTCTTCTCTGAAGTGGGATTATTTAAATCAGATGGTTTTCTGTTTAATTCTTGTCAGACCAAAGCATCAATAAAGTAATTTTGTATATACCTATTTGGGTATAAGTCTCATTGAACCAGGGGTAGGCAACCTTTCCCCTTTAAGGACCGAGAGACTCCAGCTCCCAGAATCCCAGGAGCTATTGGCCAACATGGGACTATTGGCCAACATGGCTGAGGCTTCTGGGAGCTGAAGTCCCTCGGCCCTTAAAGGGGAAAGGTTGCCTACCCCTGCGGAACCAAGTAGGGCTCTGTTCTGAAAAACAAGTGTGTAGCTGAATTACAGAAAAGATTGGTTGTAGGGAAATCATTTTATTAAAGACAGTATAATTCATGAATTTTACATATGAGCCAAACTCCTATCAAGACATATTGGTTGCATGGGGGATTTAATAGGAACGTTCTGCCAGTAAATTGGAGGTGAGTACCCAACTGTTGGGGGGCAATGAGCTTACAGTTGTAAACCGCTTAGACATCCCATAGCGCAATATGAAATGGTATATAAATGAAGCTGCTTTGCTTTTGGTTCAGATTTGAGAGTCTGAGGAAGACAAGGCTGCATTTGCACTGCAGAAATAGTATAGTTTGAGACCGCTTTAGCTGCCACTGCTCCATCCTACAGAATACTGGGATCTGCAGTTTGCTGTGGCACCAGAGCTCTCTGGCAGTGAAGGCTAACTATCTCACAAAACTGCAAATTCCATAATTCCATAGCATTGAGGCATAGCTATTAAAGTGCTGTCAAACTGCATTATTTCTGCAGTGCAGATGCAGCCTGAGTAGCATCACATACTACTGGTGTTATAGCATAATTATAAACCTCTGCTTTGAATAACCTCTACATTGCTTTGCTGTAAAAGATATTTATAGCCCCTCTGTGCATAAGTTACAGCGTTGTATCATTTATCTCTGACTGTATAAAAGTACCAAGTAAAGAAAAAGAGTAGGGCATTTAAAATGCTGAATACCACAGAGCTCAAAACCCTGAAAATCCCCTTGTCCTTATTTGCCTGCACCTTAATCTTAATAGTCATTGCTAAGTAAAGCATTCCTTACTTAGGAACATGCAGCATTGTTCTGAATGGTAGGAAATGGCAGGCTGCATCTTTTAAGTTAACTTGAATACTAACAGTGTTGTTTTAATGCATAATGGTTTGTCTGCAGAGGAATGTGTCTTTTGTGCCTTCAAGTCGTTTCCAACTTATGGTGACCCTGTCCTGGGGTTTTCATGGCTAGATTTGTTCAGAGGAGGCTTGCCATTATTTTCCCCTGAGGCTGAGAGAGTGTGACTTGCCCAAGGTCACTCAGTGGGTTTTATGGCCGAGCTGAGAATCGAACCCAGGTCTCCAGAGTGTCAGACCAGCACTCAAACCACTACGCCATAAGGAACCTGAAAAGTGTGGTGTGTTACATTGTTCAATATTAAGGACCTTAATACTGAACAATGTAACAAACCACACTTTTCAGGTTCCTTATTTGAAGCAAAAACAAATGCTTTGTTTGATTGTTTTCTCCATGCACAGTAACTTTCTTTTGCTACATCCTTTTCTCAGCCTCCATATCCTTGTCTACTCTAATATGTATTTAAAACATGTTTATCCTGGTGTTTTTTTTTTCTAACAAGCAAACATGGGCTATGTAGTCCAAGATTAAAAGCAGAGTGAAAACTTCAAATGCATCAAAATAGTAGTTAGGCAGTCATCCCAAACTATCATCGGAAAGAGTGGACAAAGAGAATTATAGTAACCACATATTCTTAATGCCCTAGACCAGGGGTAGGCAACCTTTCCCCTTTAAGGGCCAAGGGA